CGCCCAGCCGCCCAGCCACCCAGCCACCCAGCCCAGCCGCGCCGCCCAGCCGCCCAGCCGCCGCCCAGCCGCCCACCTGTCGTCCATCCATCCGTCCGTCGGCCTGTCTGTCCGCGCGTCCTCTCCGGGACATGCAAACATAAGGTCTGGAGATGAACTCGTTTAGTTGTCACCATGAACCTCCGTCTCCCAGTGTACCATACTACTGGCGGTGCCCCGAGCTGTACCCTCCCAGTCTGCTGCACCCGTTGACCTACGTTTAGGGAACTTTGGGCCTTACTGTAGAACATACAGCATCTGGCGAGCGGGACGAAACCTTCAGGAAGTAGGCCACCATTACTATTGAGGAACAATCCCCAAAATCGTTCAGCTCACCACTTCCCCCGCACAACCACGAGGTCTGGTCAGCGCCAAGTCTCAGCAATCAGCTTAGCAGGTTTTTGAGGGTAACTATGTCCACACAGTAACTGTTTAGGGCGCCTCCCCCGCGAGGCCCTTGCTTCTTTTGTTTATCTTGTTTCGAGGTGCTACATGTTTGCCTTTGCGCCCCACTGGACTTGACCTCTGCTAGCTGACTTTGCTACTGAGTCTCCCCGGCACTGCACCTTCATCCAACAACTGCAGAAGCAACAGCATAAAAGTTCATACCAAGAGGAAGGGAAGCCAGTCACCTCAGGGTTACCCAAGCGTGATGAACCAAGTCGCGACATCAAAGACTGTATTGGACCTTCTGCGATGCGCCCATGGCCCAAAAGAGCACTCTCTCTCTCTCTGTCTCCCCTTCTCCTTCGTCCTTCTTCTTCTGCTTCTTCTCCTCGTTCTTCTTCTGTGGCTACGCCCACAATCAGAGAGGCGCTGTCTTCTTCTTTGGCCTGGTTGAGGAGGATGGAGACTCATTGCGGTGAGTCGGATAGTGATGTAGTGTTCCAGGGGCTTTGTGTGTATCCCAGTCCGGGAATGGTTGGCACATCGGGCCTTTCAGGCGCGAAGTCAGCGAATCGCGGGAGCATGCTCGGGCTGGGGGTACTCTGAAAGAAAGAAAGAAAGAGAGAGTGGAAGAAAAAGAAGAAGAAGAAAAAGAAGAAGAAGAGAGTGGACGCCACATACAGCAGCATGTGTAAGAAGAAGAGCAACCATGATAATAAGGAGAGAGGGCACTTTGCCACATACAACAGCATGTGTGCCAGGAAATGCTGGGAAATGCCTCTTTGTGCTGGCGGTTGCTGCACAAGTACTTACTACTCTGTTCCGCGGCTTCTGCATTATGTGGGCAGTTTTGCACTGCGTGGCAGGAGGGCTAACAGATCTAGCTGATGAGCACCACCTTTTCGGCGAGCCATTTGCTGCAACCCACAGACTGTTCTCTCGACGATTGTTCACACGTCACGTCACTTGTGGCATGGAAGAAAGTAAACCCGTCTGTGATCGTTGCCAAGGTACACTTAGCTTGGGCCGAAAGATGAGATGTCGAACGTCGTTCTCGCCAACATGGTCCTGCAGCAGACTGTGGTGAGAGATGTGCACCAGGAATTCGTAGAGTTATTCTGTGCTCAAGGGCGCAGGGGGACTTTCTTGGTTGAAGTGACATCACGAGCGCTCCCGGGCCTGACTTGCACACGTGTCTTTGACGAGCCTAGTGTGGAGTTTCTCTTCCGGTGGTTCCACATTTTCGTGCCAGTCTTGAGACCTTTGAAGTCGGCCTGTATTTGTTCTTTGGACTGTAAATGTTTAGCGGATCCTAGCAGCCAAGCAAAGCTGAAAGCAAAGTCTCAAGACAATCGCACAGCACCCCCGCCCACCGCCCAGCTGCGAAGCTGGAGGCACTCGCTCATGGAAAGGCTTCAACCAGCCAGCGAAAAAGTCCGAACAGAACCTGTTCTGCTAGAAGATCCTGCTGTCTTCAAGTGGTCTTAGTTGAAAGGCACAACTGAAGAGCAGGCAGTTTGAATTCCTTGGGGGAAAGTGGAGAATGCTGACGTTGTGAGTTGCGAAGACAAAAACCTCAAACATCCAGCCAGTCATGAGGCGGTCGTTAAGATGCGTCAGAATCTGACAAGAAAAGAGTAGCCCCTCAAGCAGGACGGTCTAATCAAAAAGGTTTCGTCAGGAGAGCTACAAACAAAGGTCTGTCGACGTGTAGGCAAAATCCATTACTTTGTCCGGCAATCTGTTAGTCTACTAAGGATGATACAGACGTTCAGGGCTGTTAAGTCGTGCTGCTCAGCAATCGCTCCAGATTGCTGTAGAAGGGCAAATCCAGGCCCTGCGTTCTCTCAGTACTTATCAGGGACCCAAGGATGCCAACTTGCCCATGTTATTTGGGGGCAAATTCTAGCAGACCTTTGTTTTGCGGCTCAGTTCATTTGAGGATGGCTGTGCGGCAACTTCACGAGCATGTCTGCTACAACCCAAAGCGCCAAGGGGGTGTGTGATAGGGAAGGCTCTCAGGAGCAGTTTTCTGGGCTGGCACCCTTCCTGGGGCTGTCAGGAGCCGTAATTACTTAAAACTGGATAGACGGCCATACTGTTGAGGGATGTGCCACTAGTCCTCATTGTCTCTAGCAGGAGAGACTTTCCCAGGTCGCTCATGCATTCGCCAAAAAAAGTGAACTCTCAGGCTCCTGGCCAGGATCTCCCATTGCCAGTGGCAGCGACCTGCAATGTTTACGTCGTTTACGTTTTGGCAGGGAGCCGCATGTGGTCAAGCAACTGTTGCTTCTCCACCTTGCCAGGCGTTGCCTTTTGCCTCACTCAAATCCGTAAACGACACTACTGAGAATGAGCACGTGCTGAAGGATGGTTGGCCAGTGGCAAGAGACCAGAAACACAAGAAAAAACCTGTGACCTGAGAACGCAGAACTCCTCGAGGGCATGATTTTCAAAGGTGTCAGAAGAACTTCCAACAAATCATGGAAATCGGCGCATTACCTACATGGGCTCACCACCCGAAATGCATTTTCACGGACTGCAAATGAACTACTGCAACTGCAAAGGCCGTTCGGCATCAAACCTTCACATCGGTCACCAACTTCCCGAAATTGTTGCCTGACAGCAGGCGTCCCCGAAAAACCTGATGACATGAAAATTCACGTGAAACATGTTGCCTAGGAATAGAGAAGTTCTGGCACATGGATAGGCACATCAGTCCCTCTCCTCCCATGCCCACATGTGTTGTGTCTTCCCAAACACAAACGTCTCACAACAGGGACCTTTCCAGACATAAACCCGAAAAACAAATTCAAGTACACAAAAAGATGAGGCCCAAGCACCGTGAGCCCTTGCGTCTCTAAGCTCTTGCTTCGCAATGGTACGTACTGGCAGCTATGGAGCTGTTGTTCTGATACTTCCAGATGTGGTTGCGGGGTGCTTCTAGATTCCACCTCGACTGCCACGTATTCAAACAGGTTCTTCATACGTGGACATTTTTGCCTTGACGTCTTTCACACGATACTTCAGCCAGTTTCCCTTCGGTTACCTTTGCTCTCCCTTCCACCGCTGGAGATAGTGCCTCCAGAGAGGCTGGCCGGGATGCCGCCACTTCTCACTGGAAACGCTTACAATAGGATACACGTACATTAGGCTTGAGATCCCTTCGATGCTTTTCCTCGCAGGTACGACCAACAGGACTGATGACGCACATGCAGAGCGGCGAAGAGAAACATGATGCTCAGAGGGTGGCCTGATTGCTTGACTTACGTCTGCTCTTTCGTTTAGGTGTTCTCACTTGAGGCGTGTCTCCTGTAGGCCAACAGATGTCACTTTGCCCTTCGCGATCGGCCTATTACCAGCCTATCAGTTCCTTACTTTTGTGATGTTTCAATGTATCTAGATTTCTTCTTGTTTTGGTAATTGAACTCGTCACTTCCTACTCCCCTATGGATGGTGGTGATGGTTCCGTGGATGGTGTTTTGGTAGATCATCCAGAAAAGGAAAAGACTGACGAAAACAGCTACTGACAGGCCAAACCTCCGGGGTCTGTCACCATGGGTGCCCCCGAAGACAGCAAACATGAAGTGGCTGTACGGCAATCCATCTGCTTACCATGGCAGATCCCATAAAGAATCTTGATTTCTGCGGTGCAACTCACAGATCAAATTACAGAAGTGCATGCCGCCCTCGAACACCGTGGGGTGTGCCATGGGTAGGAGCAATAAGAACGCGAGGTTCCAGCAGGCGCAGACAATACGAGGAGGGAAATAAATCCTAAAGACAACGGTATCCGA